TAATCAAAGAAGTTTTTGCCTTGGATCATTCTCACATAAGCATAGCTTGGCAGCCAGGAGTGTTTAGTTGCGGCCCAATAACGGGATATGTTTTATTTTTGGAAAACGCTAACTCAACGCTCAAGCAGGTATGTTAGTAAGAAAAACTTGCAAATGAACTGCACACAACTTACACAACTTTTCCGAATGTCTGCGAAAAGACTTTGCCGCCCGATAGACGAAGCTTTGTTTTTGCAAAATTGTTGCCTTCAACGAATTATACAATAAAACTAGCCATGTTGAATGCCGAGGGTGAAGGTCGTTCTGCCGAAGCGTTTGTCCAAACCAAGTATGCCCCTTTGTATGGGAATTCGGACAATGTAGATCTGGTGATTGTCACAGGGGAATACAGTGTTAAAATCAAAAGTTTTGAATCTCTAACCGATACAGAAGTAATTTTCGAAAGTGACAAGCTAATAAACGATTATACTCTATATTCATTCTTAGGAGAACAAATATATTTCATTGTAGATGCTTCAGGAGTTATTGTGAGGTAGGTATTTTTTAGAGTGAATCTAACTTTAAAGGTACATTTTTTTTTTTAATTATCGTTTTAATAGATTTTCAATAAATGGCGATACACAAAAGTTTGTGATTTCTAGTTTAGACAAATTTCCTGAATTCAAACCAAAGAAAATTAGCGTCGATTGGTTAAACAAGCGGCTTTTTATTGCAGCTCAGGTAAATTGTCTTATTATGTAATGGACATTTTACTTCTAACTTAGTATGGAATCTTTCGCTTCGGTTACAGAAGCTTACGGAGCAGTGGGCAGTGATTGCCACAGACTTCAGTGGACACTCGCAGAGTATGATAGTCAGCAATTTAACTGAACCTATCGAGCAATTGGATGTGGATCCCATAAATGGTTGGCTATTTTGGCTAACAAGTGGCAGTCTTATGCGAACCAATCTCTACAATAACTACTCAGAACCCATAATCAAGAGAGACGTAGGTCATTTCTCAAACACTTATCAAAGCAGCTTAATAACATTTTATAATACAAGTGATCACACCTTGTTCGAAAGCACTTATGATGGGCTACACATCCAAAGCCTTCAATTAAAATTATCCATTAGTTTAGAACGCATAGTGAGCTTCTGGTACAATGGAATTCATATATTGGCTACAAATGGTACACATCTGCTGCGGGGAAACTACAATACAAATGAATTTGACGTCCGCACTGTCAGAGAGTTGGAATGGTGTTGGGGTATTTTGCCAGTGATACAAAAGGGACAAAAGATATTTATACAAACACAGCCATTGCAAAAAGGAATCCCAGAAAACTTGAATGCTTTGGTTACATCTAATATGGCCAAAATAAGTTGGGATGCGCCGCAGCTGAATGTATATCAGACAGAATACGCTTGGCAAAAGTGGGATTATGAGCTTGAGATAATGGATGTGGCTAGTAACAGCGCCTTTAATATACGCAACATAAAGACAACATATTTCAATGTGGAGAAACTACAATCAAATAATTTGTACAAGTTTCGTGTTCGTGTCATTTTTGGTAGTACACTTGGTGCATGGTCTAAAGCGTTGTTAACGCGTACGTGGCCCTTAGGGGAGTATACATTTCTGTTGGCAAGCATGAATGGCATATACGAAATGAATGAGACCGGTACGCATGTAGAGCAGGTCGGTCAAATGGAAAACGTGCAAGATTTTATGCAGTTGAATGCCACAATATACTACATTTCTAAGGACAATCGCTTGCAATGTGTGAACATCATGAATCCGGAGATAAATTGCTCATTTATAGCCACAAATGCAATGAGCTTGGCATATGAGTGGCGTGGTGGCAAGATGTATTGGGTAGATACGTTGGGAAATTCTGTGATGAGAGCGAACTTAGATGGCAGCCAACGTGAATTGCTACCAGTATTCGGTGCGGAAAGCATTGCAGTTGATGCATACAATGGGCATATCTACTACTCGACCGGGGTGAAGTTGATGAGACGCTCTCTAGGCGACACACTGGACGCGGACGAATATGAATATTATCATGTCAGCACTTACGACGATGTCATACGCGGTTTTGCTTTGGATGTGGTAGGAAAACGCCTCTTTTGGGTTGTTCGAAAAGGTGACGGTGAGGTTAACTTATTCCGAACCAGCAGTGACATGACTAGTGAGGATTTACAGTACAATATCTTAGGAAATGATATAAGATTGGGCTCTTTAAAATTTTTACACGAAATTGATAGTCTGATGTGGTTGCCTTTGAATTCCAGCACAATTACTTTCGCACGAACAAGCAATCCAACAAACGAAGTGCTGATTCACCTTTCACAATTTACTAATATCAACTGTATTAATCTTAGATCGGAATATATGCCCGCTAACGACCTGTCCGTTATACCTGAGGCCCTCGATGGCCAAAGTGTTCACATCAGTCAAGCCTTCGCAGATGAATGGATAGTTAAGTGGCAACCAATAAGTTCCTCGGAAAATTATACAATATTTTATAGTATTATTTTCCAATTTGCCGACGCTACTAATCAAACGGAAGCAATACGTGCATATAAGACCAACGATTCGTTCATAAGGATAGCTGAAGAACTTCCTTTGCAACCAAGTTTTCATATAACTATAACGGCATCCACATATTGGAGCATAGGTCCAACCACGCGTGTACAACTGCTCACACCCACTACCAGTGTAGCCCCTCCGAGACGGATGAGAGTTTTTGTTCAACAATTTAAGGACCCGCTTGAAGCCAGCACCAACATAAGCGCAATTGTTCGATGGGACTCTCCAGAATCTAAAAGTCCTTATACTGAAATAAATTATAAAATATTCTGCTGGCATGGCGATAAGCTACACGCCGAAAAATTATACAACACAACTGACAAGGAATCATTTGAGACGACAATAGATGGGTTACATATGGGAGAATCGTACGTCTTTCAAGTACAATCCTTTATACCAGGAGCAACAAAAGGAGGCCAACGCAGCTCCTTTCAAATACTCATTAATCCAGAACTCCAATCCAAGCCGGGATTTCTATTCTCGACGAGTGAATTTATTGCAGAATACGATCTAGATTTGAATACTTATAACATACTGACATACATAACTAGTCAAGTGGAACATTTGGCGGTGATACCTAGTGAAAGACTTGTTTTGTGGGTTAATGAGAATGTCGAGCTATTATCTCTCACAGCTGATCTAAAACCAATTAAATTGGCAAGAATGCGAGCCGAAGTGCTTTCTATGACCGTCAACTGGGTTCAGCGTAGGGTTTACTGGGCCGAATTGGAAACAGAGGATAAATATACGATCTCGATATATGAACTTGATTTGTGCCAGTTTGAAGGAAAAGTAATGACACCAAATAAGATATTTACTCTCGAGCAGGCAAAGACGGTAAAGGATCTCACGATTTTACCTTTTTCAAATATACTTTTGTGGCTGCAGTTTGACTCAAAGACGAATATCTCCTCACTTATGGGATGTGTGCTGGAAAATTCTACTTTCATAACGATCGAAAATATTAGAACCCAAAAAATGTTTGCAGCAACTTTGTTGCCAGAATTGGAGACGGTAAGCCTTATAGATGAAGATGGCAGTATTTGCACGTATGATATAGGAATGCATCTATGCACGTCGAAGGAAAAACTAGTTTTGGACAACCCAACAGCAATGGTGAAAATCGACCGAGACAGTAGTTACATATATGTGCTCAAAAACGAAAGCATATACGCATATAGTTTACAAAAGCAAAATATTGAATATCAAACAAATATTGCGGACATTAAAATTATCAAGGCATATAACTATCAACACTATCCAGTTAAGAAATGTCTTCTGCCGGATCATGATAGTTTATTGCAAAATAGAAAATTACTCAACCCCCCAGATTATTGATGTGGGTGAAAATTATATGGCTTCTATGCTCCCACAAGTACACCTAATAGAGAACTGTAGCTCAAAGATTCCAGGCCTAAAATATACGCTGTGGATTACAGATAATGGCAAATCGTCGCGCAGTCATTCAACATTCGAAAGCAGTTTGAATGTAACAGACCTTATGCCATTTACCAACTATACGATTCAATTGGCCATATCGTCGTATTATCAACGAAAACTCAAATTAGATGAATGCTTCTCTGAGATCATAACAGTACGTACCGGCGTTGGCACTCCTTCTGTGCCTCGTAATTTCACTGCTCATGCTATAAACCCATCGCAAATTTACGTCGTGTGGAATGCGCCTGCGAAACCTAACTGCGAGAAAGTGTGGTACCAATTACACTGGCAAGATGCAGACTCCGATTCAGGTGCTCGCAAGCGAATAAATAGCATGAATTTTCTAATAACGAATTTGGAACCTTCAAAAGAGTATAAATTGTGGCTGGAAGTTTTCTCCGCAGAAAACAAATATAACACAACCTCGCCCGTCACAGTAAAGACATTTGAAACTCCTTCCCGTTTAATGCTTGTGAAGAAGGCGGCCTATAATTTGACTTTGAGTTGGGTTACTTCGCCTAACGTAACTAGAACAGTTTTGATTTGTCAAGAAGTTAACGGAGAAAATGAGTTCAGTATCGATATTACGGAAAACTCTTCAGTAATAGTTGTGTCAGATTTGGAGCCTAAAACTAAATACGAATTTGTTCTCGAAATATTTTACGAAACTCTAGTAGACCCCTACATATGGCCAGAGGTGCCTAACGAATACTTTGTATATGAAACACTGGGTGACTCGCCAGGACGTCCCGGTCAGCCACAAATTGAACACACCATAGGCGATGTTTTTCGAATATTTTGGCAAGCTGCTCCAAGTAATGGCGAGCCAATAACTGAGTACTCTTTGGAAGCACTGCAAGCCCGTAGCACCAAACGCATAAGGCGAAGTAAATTGGCTTACGAAGACTACATGAACGATTCCATAACAAGCCACAGCCAGAGTCTTTGGGCGGAAGAGCCAAGCCCGATTGAAGATAAGTGGATAGTTACATGTAACACTACCGATCTAAGCTGCATCATTCGGGAAATATACATACTAAGACTGTTAATGTTTCGTGTGCGCGCACGAAATGCCTTATATGGTTGGGGACCATACAGTTTGGATAGCGAACGCATTTCAGAACCTTTTGTATCGCCGGAGAAAAGAGACTCATTAGTTTTGGCAATCATAACTCCGGCAGCGATTGTCTCCACATTTGTGCTTATTTTAATTATATTACGAACACGTAAGTTTCCTGATTTAAATGAATTTTAAGATTGCAATTTTATCCAAATACACGTTTGTTTGTATGTATTCAGTGCACGTTAGACGCCAAAATGCTAAAAAAGTTGCTTGAGAAGAGCCGGCCAAGTATTTGGAGCAACATATCAACACTACAGCACCAGCAGCTTATGGCATCGCGCAATAGAGCATTTTCCACCGCAAGCCATTCTACATTATATACTGGCGGTCCCTTAAGTGATGCCGATATCGCCCTTTTGCCCCACATACACTGGAGTCAAATAACAATATTAAATTTCTTAGGAAGTGGCGCTTTCGGCGAAGTGTATGAGGGACTAATAAAATATCAGAATTGCGATCAAGAGGAAAAAGTTGCGATTAAGGTAAGCTTGAGTTGAGGTAAGCTTTGAGTTATTTCACATTTAATACTCCACAATAAACTGACTTGCCCTAACTACATACATACATATGTACATATTAGAGCCTCCGAAAGGGTGCCAGTGAATTTGCTGAGCTCCTGCAGGAAGCCCAACTTATGAGCAACTTCAAACATGAAAATATTGTCCGACTTATCGGTATCTGCTCCGACACTGAGTCGATCTCTATAATCATGGAGCACATGGAAGGGGGAGATTTATTGAGCTATCTTCGAGACGCACGGCCGAATTCGAAGGTACATATTTATATACTGTAAATGCATATGTAAATACATTTTTTACCAATTCGCATCAAAATTTATACTGATTTAATAATATCGATCTATCTGCGCAGAGACATATCGCTTCGCTAAATTTGTTGGACCTAACTTCCATGTGCATTGATGTTTGTAACGGATGCAGTTATCTAGAAGATATGCATTTCGTACACCGGGATCTCGCTTGCCGCAATTGCTTAGTTTCATCCAATGATCCAAGCAAACGTATTGTGAAAATTGGAGACTTCGGCTTAGCCCGCGATATATATAAGAGTGATTACTATCGCAAAGAAGGCGAAGGTCTCCTGCCCGTAAGATGGATGGCGCCAGAAAGCCTTATTGACGGTGTCTTCACAACCCAATCGGATGTGTGGGCTTTTGCTGTACTCTGTTGGGAGATACTGTCGTTTGGTCAGCAGCCGTATGCCGCTAGAAACAACTACGAAGTACTAAATTATGTAAAGGACGCTGGAAGACTAGAAAAGCCCGAAAACTGTCCCGATGAAATGTAAGTACTTGTTGACGGAAATCATTTATATTCAGTCATAAACGTACTGAACTATTCAAAGGTTTTCATTATTGCTGCATTGTTGGAGTGCTCAACCAGATGAACGTCCATCTTTTAAAAAATGTCTCCTCCAACTAATTGGAGTTAAAACAGAATTAAGGCGCATCAATTTAGGCTTCAGCAATGACAACACTGATAGCGTTCTATACGCCAATCAACCTGAAACCTATTTAAGCACATTTAAAATGAACTCTATTCCAAAGCTGAAAGAGCAAGATGTCTGCAATGAATTGGAAGACTACGGAAAAGCCTCGCAGGATGGTACAAATATATCGGCACAAATGGAAACGTTTTACCAGGATGTCGACATAGAGACCATTTCCGATGATTCTCAACTAATAGATACAGAAATGGAAAAAAATAATATTCACATGAGCTCAAATGTTAACGAAGGCATTTCAAGATTATGAATACCCGTCCATGACAATTGTATGTATGTACATATACGATTAGACATAAATGTTTTACGATCAATAAAAAATTAACCTCGAGAGGCAGTTTAATGTACATACATATATATTTATGTACATACATATATTTTCATAGTTGTTATTGTTTAAATATCTAATTTTGTATTGTCCTTTGAACTAAGGAAATTATTCGCAGAACTGTATTTCAACTTAACTTTGCCAAAAAATGTACGTGATTCAATATGCAGCATAACTTTTAAATTGCTGTTACGTATTTACAAGTTTCCTTCAACATTTAATGCAATACTCAACAAATAAACAAAGACAAAGTTTACCTCAATCTAATTTACATAATGGTTCTAAAATGAAGCCAGTTAAACACGAGAACAGACCACAATGTTTCTGAGCGCTAACAAACAATTGCATATTCTGTCTCAATTCCCTCTTTATTGCAAGAATTTATTACACAACGGGGAATTCCTCCACATGACATCATCAAACAAATGTACAAACCTACGTGTTAAGGCACTTCAACTTTAAATCCACATTTGCCCCGTACTTTATTCATCAAGCTTTAGAACGGGGTTCTATTTTGCCCTATTATTCTTTCATCCTGCGAGCGAGCAATGAAAAGTAGAAATAATAAAGTGCTTTAAACAAAACCCCCCGAGGATTACCTCCAACCCACTTAGCCAGCTGTGCGTATACGAAAGTCTGTAATAATGCAAATGTATATATATATATATGTATGTGTGTGTTTATGTATCCCGAAAATTCTCCGGTGTTTGTGTGTATCACGAAACAATTGTATGCGAAGGAATGACTGACAACGGACTGTCAATTGACAGCAATAAGCAGATTATTTTAAATGTCTAACACCATGTTCAACGCCACAGTAATAAAACGGACGGAAAATACGAACGAAGAGCTGACGGAAAGAACCAGTGAAGAGATTTGCATAGGCTTAACTTGGGCGCAGACCCGCCCCAACATTTATCTCATTCACGTTGTTTAGTGGCCAATTCAGTTACTGGCTTAGTTCGTGCAACACAGGACAAAGTAATTTGCATTGAGGAGAAAAAACTGCCAAACTAAAAGGACACAAATCTGAGGCACACAAACATTTTGTATACACGTTAAATGCTAAAATTTCTTTACTACTTTTTTCGACTTTCGACTTTACTTTCTTGAGTGCTTAAAAGAAGATTCTAACTCGCAATTCAAAGTAAAATTTGATGCGCCGAAAAGTGTCCGCCTAGTGTCGGGTGTCGCTGGCTAGTTGACGTGCAATAGGGTACCTTGGCATGGGATACACGGAATTATAATGGTAGGCCCATATTGACGACAATGTTAGCTTAAAAATCCTAAAAAAAAAACACGCAAACCTTGGAACTTTTTCTAAACTAACTGACATTATAGTACACTCACAAAATATTTACTTTTGACAAACTGAAAAGCTAAACACAAGTTTTAATGTTGGTGAAGTAGCACATGTTGTGTTTCAATTTGCGCAAATTAATGAATAAGGACTTACACGTACTCATTTGTATTGTGCCGTTTGGGATCATGCTTATGCCAAAGAGTTTCCTTGCTTTTATTGAAGCTATGCTGCATTTGCGCCAGCGAAGAAGGAAGTATGAATGCCGTTTCTGAAATTAAATGGAAATGTTATATCATTAACGTTGAATTTTTTTAATTAAAATCGCGATTTACTTCGATTTATGAATTCGTTGTTCTAAGCCTGTTTACATAACAATTGATTAATCGGTTCTTTAGTAAGCATTTCAGCATATCTTTTGCCTTTGTTCACTCCTTTGAGCATTAATTATGTGGCTTTTGTAAAAATTTGCTCACATATACTAAAACGTAAGCTAAATGGTACACAAATTTTTACAAAATATGAAAGCCAGCATTTACATACATCCTTTCGGCAGAGTCTGTGTACCTACATACATGTACATACATACAAACCATATGCATTTAGTGCATACACTGGTGGCAGAAATATGTAATAGAACCGCCTTATATTTCGCATTTTAGCTACATTTCTTTGGTTTTTTAATGTTGGATAGTTTTTTTTTTATAAAAGTGTAGCTCATTATGTAATAAAGTACATATAGGCAAATGTGCATTTCAAACTTTGTACAAGAATTATATAAATTCAACAAATGTTCACCTAAAATTCTAACTTTTTAGGTACACAGTTTTTTAGCCCATTCAATTTTAGTACGCTAAAGGCCAAGTAGTGTAGTGGTTAGCAGTGCGCGCTACCATTCCGCAGGGCCCGGTTTCAAGCCCGTTTCAACCCAACAAATAATAAAAACCAAAAAATGTTTTTTTTTTTCTTAACAGCGGTCGTCCCTCGGCAGGCAATGGCAAACCTCCGAGTGTATTTGTGCCATGAAAAACAGCTTCTCTTAAAATATACAATCGCCGTTCGGTGCCGGCATAAAACTGTAGCTACCTCCCCTTTGTGTGACAACATCAAGGCGCACGCCACAAATCAGAGTAGACGGTCGGCCAAACACTAACATATGTCTAAGAATAGTAATATAATTCTTAAAGCGCCAGCTTGAAGTGGCTACAAAGTACCGTTGATTTTTTATAACTTTTTTAGCATAGTTGTGCATTTGCATCCATATAAAGTATGCTCAAAACAGGAATTTCTACAAAAAATGCGCACAACCGTTCGCAAAAAAAAAATAATAATCAACGCCAGGTTTCACAAATTGCTCTTTATGTATAAACGAAAACCAAAAAAGTTTGGTGGCAAAACAAATTATAAATAATCAATGCCATTTTTTAGCTGCTTGAAACTTGCTTTTTGTTGTACTAAAATTTAATGGGCTATAAAACAGCATACCCGAAAAAATTACGAATAAAAAGTTTGAAATTTAGGTGAAAATTTCTTGAATTTTTATAATTTTTTACAAAGTTTGAAAAACGCAATTATACGTATGCAGGGTTATTACATTAGCTAGACTTTCATAAAAGAGATTGAAACATTAAATGAATAAAAGAAATTTAGTTAAAACAGGTCAAAATGCGGCGTTTCTATTATTTCTGCCACCAGTGTAAGTATGTATGTACGTACATCCTCTTGCGGATGCATTTGGATACCTGCTGCTGCGCAGCGAGTACATAATACTCTCACGCTAGTTTTAATCTGGACGAACGTCAGTTTGACAGCTTGGCGTTCGGCTGGTTAAACAAAGGACGAGGAAGTTAGCAGAACTTACGCGTCTACATTTGCATAATTTAAAAGACATAAAAGAGGAACTTCATGCAAATTTGATGGCGTGAAAATGAGTTTTTTCTGTAGGGCTCACTTTCAGACTTGTAAACACATCAGAATGAACACACGGTCGTTTTCGCATTACAAATTATGCTCACCGCCGCCGTCGACAAGTTGTGGCCTCGGTGTGCTCGAGTTGCGTGTATTTTGCAGGGTGCGCCCTCTCAGCTTCACTTATACGAATACATATGGGGTATTCCATCGTCACGGGTGGGACATTTGTACAGCAAAAATAGTTTTTCTTTTTTAATTTAAGTATAAAGTACTAAGCAATTCTACATTTTGATAAAGCTACAACTAGTTCACTAATATACGAGTTATTACCAAATACGAAAAATATTCCAACTTGATTTTATATTGGAAAATTCTGAGCTGTTTCTTCCGTCACGGGTAGGACAAAGAAAAGACACTGCTTTTTGGAGAACATATATTTTAAGGAAAGTCTGCGAATTTACTTAACATTTCTATCTGGATTAGATGTTTTACTATACAGAAAAGAACCAGCAATCCCAACAAAGCACAAACCATAATAAGAATTATTTGTTTATTATTAAAAAATTCAAAATTCTCCTGTCACGGGTGGGACAACTTTTGTCACGGGTGGGACACGTACGATTTTCTTCATGAAAGGAAGCTTCTAGTGAGATCCATATCAAAGAGATTAGGTATGATAAATGTTAGAGGTCAAATACAAGATCAATTGACCTACTTTTATGACAGTGGAGTCATTGTAAGACGCACGATATACTGCTGACCCCAGGATCTATTTTAGGGGCAATAGTTATACCAAACGAAAGCTAGAAGTCGCCAGATTGATGTATTAAAATGCATGGAAGAAAGGATTATTTGCAAACGCATGAAATTTTATATGCATTTTCCTAATGCACTTCTGCACGGTGCATTTGATTGCAACGAAATTTCGAATGTGCCTTAATGATTTTCAAGTTTGTTTAGAATAGCTATGTATGTCTGACTAATACTAACTACAGGCTAAACATGTATATCGACTACTGTTATCACGTCGATAGAGATGTCTAACCTGCTGTTAGTGTTGACCAGACATTGAGTAACCGGCTTAAGAGTGGCTCGAGTTGAGTTATTTTTGGAAACTGATTTCATGGACAAATCATGCTCAAATTTAGCTATTCCTTAAAACCATAGAACGTCAGAAAAGATCTTGTGTATCGATGTCTAATCCGAAAAGTTATCTGCATTAGAATACTTGTAAGCAGATACATATGTATATCTTTGTCACTTAAAGGCTATTTATTGGATTGAATTTATAAGTTTCGCGAACTTCTAGATTTTCTTGGTTGGAACTTTTCAGGTAATTGTTAATATTGACTTTTAATTGTTGTTAAGCAACCATCATCATAGAATTCTCTGGCGTCTCTAAGATAGTAATGCTTATCTTGACTTTTCGAGCTGGCCACGCGAAATTTTTTACTACATCGCTTAGCCCACCAACAGTATTATGGTGTTTAGTCAACCTGTACTTCAGAGTTTTGTGGCATTAAACATAGGTTTGAAACGTTAAACTTATTTTTTTATTGTTAGGCATCATTAGAAAAAAATTATAAATGATTGTCACGGGCGGGACACGATAAAACGTATCAAAATCTCTTAAGTAGGTACTTATAATATAATAAAAGAAATGAAATAGGGCTGCTTAGTATAAACACACTCTAGTTATGAAATTATAGAAAACTCCCTAAAGTAGTAACTAAGCAATACGAAGTTTAAAACTTTTTAGTCACGGGTTGGACATGCTAAACCGTAGTGATTTTATCCTATTATATAATTTAAATGCCTATTTTTCTTCAATGCAATATTGCTTCTTCGGGGCGCAGAAAGATCGAGACATTTATTCCCCCCTTCAAAAAAATAATAACTTTGTGAATACTTGATTTTGCAGAGCCTTCTATATTAAAATATGTTGTCGTATTCAACTACTTTTCTAATGTTGAAGTTTTGAGTGTATTTACAGTGTAATAAAATAATATAACTAAATTTTTTTTCGAAAAAACGTTAATTTCAGGTATTGAGCATTGATTCATCAAGCATTCCATGTTCAATAAGCTACTCTACAATTGGACACAAAGTTTCACTTACTCATGGAATACCCCATATATATATATATATATATATATATATATATATATATATATATATGTACATGCATGCTTTGCAGGTGATTACTGTGTCACTCTTAATACGGTCACACCACTGTGTAACTCTTCTGCTCAGGCAATGTAAAGAGGTGCATGTGTACATATGTATGTATGTTTATATAGATGTCGGTCTGCTTGCATAAATATGTGCTTAAGCATATCTACATGTTCACACACACATGTGGGGACGAATACATACATATCTACATACAATTTTTGCACTCATGTGCGCCTTTATGCAATTATTTTTGCCGTGTTAAGAAGCAGGAAGCAAGGCGTTGCTTTTTCTTTAATTATTGCCAAGCGTTCGTTTTGAATAATTTACCCAAGTGCGGCTTTTGACTCTTCAATGTGACTACTTTTGCAAAATGTACCAATTTTACATGTAAAATTTTATATTGCATTACAGGAGGTAATGAGAAACTTCATTAATATTCGTAAATGTATTGGCGCAAGTCTATTTACTCTTTATTACTTTTTTGTAGATATGTGTGCATGAGGTACTTGTCCTAAATATTAACTACATTAAAAAAAAAAAAAATCCTGTTGTCGCACAAATGAAGTGATCTACAGTTCTACGTTGCCACCGCATGGCTGATGGTTTTACATGACAGAAATATGTACACTCTAAGGCCGCTATTATAAAAACACTAATTTGATATTGGTCGGTCGAGGAGTCGGACGAGGAATCAGACCAGAGTCCTATCGGCTGCCTGGCGCACCTAGCATTCGGCTACGTCGGCTACGTCGGCCGCCTGATACACCTAGCTGTAAAACTTAAACAAAAACTAAATTCAAATATGCTAGCACTTACCGTGAAGAATGCGTTTTCCCCGCTCGCCATGGCATCGAAAACCTTGACAGCTTCGTTTTTGTGTCAACGTTGGACAATGCTTTCCGCCATTTTGCGGTGCTTGCGTCATGTTTCGCGTTCGTAATGTGATTCCCGTGCCGCAGCTCTCATCGCATTCGCTCCATGGGGTCCAATCACCCACCTGACAATCGATCACTGCAAGAGAGAGAATAAATTTGTTTCGTCTTTTACAATAATGCACACATGAAATTAAATGTAATGAAAAAATAAACATATTTCCCCCACTGTGCACAGGCAAGCTATTGTATGTACATAGGTACGCGCACAAATTATGTAAGTATATAATTTCAGCTGAAATTCAAAATGCGGCAAATTATGCGCCATTTTAATTTAATTGGTTTAAGGGAAAGTTGTTCTAATACAGCCGCGGTGTTTTTTCTGTGGAAAACGTTATACATGTGCGTGCGTAATTTAGCAAGTGGCGTCCTAAGCCGGAGTAGTTATAAATGCGAATTTGGTAAAGCATGCAACGGGAGGCACTCGTATCATATTTTCATTACTGGCTCAATTGTCGTTACTGTTGCTTCCATTCAATGAGCATTAAATTATTATTCATTAAAAAAATCGTCTCAAGGCGCACAACGCCATTGCTAAACGAATAAGAGGGGAAAGAACGGAGGAAAAACAATTACAAACCTAGATAACAACAGCTTAACGGCATACGAAACACCCTAAATTAAAAAAAAAGAGGTATGCACATAAAACCCGCAAAAAAGATGGGCCGGCATATGTTGATGAACCCAAAAATTGAGTAATGATAATTTTAAAATTTAAAATTTTTATTATTCCTCCAATTGGAAACAATTTTAAGTTTCACAATCCGTTTCCGTGAAATTTCGTGCAATGCATGGAATAGCTGAGCCCAGAGAGTGTAGGGTACATCAATGAAGTTTATGAACTGCTTTATGAAAATGTAATTAAATACGATTTCGTGAGACGAGGCACAGGCAGATTTCGTTAAAATGAAATTTCAGTAAACGCATTATAATCTAGTAAATTAAAAGCAATTAAAAATATCCAGAACAATCAGAGACTGAGGTTTTTCTTATCAAACAATAGAGTGTATTTACATACATACATACGTACGTACGTTGTAATTTTTGTTGAATTTATGTAAACTAAAGTTTAGCGAAAAGTTCCGACCGTTGCGGGTTTATAAAAACACAGTTATCTGTGTCTAAGGAAAGAGAAAATAAATTGCAAATATGAATACATATACAGTAACTCAGAAAAGGGACCATGTGTGGATTTTTTCCCAAATATTTACAATATATTTCAAGTAAATTTTTGTCGGTTATTTTTCTATAAAAATGTTGTCCAAGCTTTAAAAAAAACATACTATAACTAAAAGTTTCAAACTTTATGCAAAAGTTAGGAAAAATTCACAAATCTTCATCCAAATTTCAAATTTTTGAATCCTTAAAGCATTTCTGAGTATGCAGTTTTATAGACCATACAATTTTATTCGAAGAAGTGCAAGTTTCAATTAAAAAAAAATTTCGTTGATTTTTGAGAATTTTTCTGTGGCTGCTTTTGCGTTTTTTTTTTTATATGACCAGTGTAGTTTACAAAAACTGGTGTTGAATTTTTGAAATTTTGTTGCGAATGGCCTCCCGCATTTTATTTCATAAGAAATTCATGCTTATATGCAAAAAAGTGGAAAAATCATTCAGCAAAAAAAAAATATTAAAAATCTTGTACTACAATAGACTAAAATTTGTGGGCTATAAAACTGCATACACAAAAATGTTCTAAAGATTCAGTTTAAAAAGATCGAATTTTGATGAAAATTTGATGAATTGTCTTAAATTGTGTATAAAGTTTAGTATAAGGTTTTGGTTAAAGCTTGGACAATATTTTTATAAAAATTAATGAAAAAAAAACTATTTAGTTAAAAATCATTGCGCATATTTAAAAAAAATCAACATGTGGTCACTAACCTACACACATACATACATATGTATTTAGAGCTCAGTCAAACTGGCAGGTGTTTTTCTTTCTTTTCAAACGCCTGGATACATGGCGTATGGGTAACAAAATTTCCTACAAATATTTCATACAAAAAATTATATTTTAATTTAAAAATCGATTACGGGCGAAAAAAATGGCCTCAGCGTAAAACTACCTACTGCAATTATTTAGATAATTGCTTCATCTATAATGTAGTATTTTTATTTTATACTTTATTCTGGACAAGTTTATGAACAAATTGACACGTTTTGGGATGGTCTGAAGTTTTTTCCTTTAAGTCCAATATGACGACATTAGTGAGCAGAAGAAGATTTCAAAAAAATTTACGGATAATCAAGAAAATGACTTTGTAAATTTACCTAAAATATCGGCTTCAAATGTTCCAGTTTGAGCTCAGTTGCTATGTTATCGGCCCATTATACAAACATACGCACGCACGCACGCACATTTGTGCAAAATAAGCACTTTGTAAACCAGTAAACAATTTATGCATGTGTGTGAAGGACATCTGGGGTAAGCAAACAGTCATTAAAATCGCCTTCACTAGCGGTTGATACAAGCACTTAGCCGAAAAAGCCCTTTTTACCTACATACATACAGCTGCGAGCACTAAAATAGTAGTTAACGGTTAACATATTTTTAGATTACTAGAAAACCAAAATAATAGTTGCATTCATTATATTGAAAAACTGAAGGACAATTTCATAACTAAATGTGGGGTCAAAAGAGTTTTATTTAAATAAACACTAAAAAAATTAATTCATGTAAGATGTGTTTTCATGGAAACTACTGCGAGCAGAAAACCAAATAGTACATAACAAAAAGTTTTAAATTTGCATTAAAATGTTAATATTAATACTAAAATTTAGCACAATTACTTAGTATTTGGTAGCATGACCGTTGTTTTTAATCACTGCTGCATAACGATTTCTCTTGGAGTCTACGAGGCGTTGACATCTTTCCTGAGGTACATATTGACTGCCATGCGCGGCCCATAGTTCGTGGTAATTTTTTGGTTTTAGATCCCATACGGTTTTATTAAGGTTGGTCTAAAGGTTTTCTATGGGATTGAGGTCAGGAGATTGAGCTGGCCACTCTATGACTTCAACTCCATTGTCCCGAGACCACAATTTTGCTAGCTTACTTGTATGCTTCGGGTCGTTATCCTGCTCTAGTACCCATTTGAGTGGCATTTCCTCTTCAGCGAATGGAAGCATAACATCCTTCATTGTTTTTACGTACTTATTCTGATCTTTGATAGTTTTTATCCAATATATTGGGCCCCACACCATGATATGAAAAAAAACATCCCAATACCATAATACTGGCCTCCATGCTTCAACGTCTTTGCAGTGTACCTTGAATGATATTCCATATTTGGGGGGGCGCCTTACGAACTGCCGTGCCTGTACCACCGTATATAAAAATTTTTGACTCATCCGTCCACAGAATGTTCCTCCGCTTCCGAATAGGCCAATCCAGGTGCTTTTTGGCAAAATCTAGTTTGCGTATCACATGATTTTTTTCAAAAGCGGTACTTTACGTGGACTTGTAGCACAAAGTTTGTGTTCTTGGAGCTGTCTCTTTACTGTGCGAACACTACATGGTAACTTTAGGTTATCCAAACTTTCTAAAGATGACATTGTGGGACGAGTCTTCGAATATTTAATAATTTGCCGTATGTTAGTCGTTGATAATTCCTGCTTACCACCCCGTTCCTCAGGTTGATTTTGATACGTTAACGTATTTCGAATCATGGAGGCTGAACATCCACCAATTTTTTCCACTTCTTTATATGTTTTCCCCATTTTAGTAATTTCATGTTTTTCGTGACCTCGGTGCAGACTTCGTACCATAAAACTTACAAAAATGCGTTTTTGTCTATTCCGGCTAAATGTATAACAAATCAAGACATTAAACTTACTTTTTATTCCAAAAACTAAAATATTTGCAATTGAAGTTAAATTTTGCGACTTTTTTTGTTATGCGCTACTATTTCACTGCTCGCCTTAAAAGCCGTTCACAACAGGGGATACTTCTAAAAAAAATTAAACCGTAGCTGTTGAACGGTTTGAAATTGGCATAGAGTTAAATCAAGGGCATAATGCATCTCACAACTGCGCACTACGATTTCAGTGATCGTAACTGTACATACATAGCCAATTGATGTCAATAGAAGTACATATCTACACATGTATGTACATTTACTTAAGGCTTCTAAAGGGTAGACGTTAAACTGAATATCATCAATTATAAATTTATTGCATATTTAGTTTGTTCAGCACAAATAGCAAAACAAAAGAAAATCCCTTGAGCACACATTCATCGAATTTCTGGAGGTATTACAAAATGTTCATAAACATGTGTATGTGCATACATACATATATATACGATATGTTAAAGGTAGTATCGATTTTTTATTGAGTTACATATTTTGTTTCTGTTATAAGTCGTCGCAAGTCACCAAAATAAATGTCTTCCGCATTCGACGTTTTAAAATGTGCCGTACCTATCGTAAATGGGATTATTTATTAATTCGATTTCGCTGCCCGCACGGTTTTAAAGTGAGCAAATTTATTGTCACTTTGCCTTCGGAATACAAAATTGGCCATAGAATTCCGGTAAAGCGAAAAAGTAACAAGAAAGAGCAATCATTAAAGTTCAATGAAGCATTTTCTCGCCTTGCCCCTAGCTTCCAGCATACAAGCATAAAAGCAATCCCTCCTCTTATAGTTAGTACCTTTTCAGATTGAACAGTTTCATTTAAAATCATTGGAGTGGAAACTTATTTCAATGTAAATATATGTCGCATAACTCACGTCAGCAGGCGGTGAGTTTGAAAGCATCTATTTCACGTAAAACAGTGTAAAGAATTACTTCGGAAGCCACATGTATGTATGTATATATTCACATAAATGTGGAAACCAGTTTGGACTATATCCGTTAAAAGCTTACATGCCTTAAGCTACCTATGTATAAGTACATATACGTAAAACTGGATGTAAACAAATGAACGCATAGCTAAGCATGTACAAGAAAAATAAACAAGAAAAACATCTTCGATTTTTATTTGTCAATTATTTGAGATCCCCTATTTAGAGACGCCATAATGCATGTAAATACGCAGTAAATAACTACACTGTTATCTTTGGAAGCAAGTCATGCCTAACTGCTGTTCAACGCAGCGTATGAGTGATATTGGAGGCCAATCTTTTATTCATTGTATTTAGTCCAAAACAAATTCAATTCCCAAGGCACATATGTACATAAGTACAGTGCCGAACAGAAGTATTGGCACAGTGAATTTTTCGCAATATATGCAAAGTTATCTATTCTAATTCTAAGAAAACATAATAATAAAATATCTAAACTTTGTGCAAAACTCAGGAAAATTCATTAAATTTGCACACTAATTTGCAACTTTTTATTCAGATTTT